GAGGATGAACGTGTGCGAGTTACAAACACGAGGGCACATTATACCTAATATGTAACGAGAATTTATTTAAAATAGGGAGAAGTCGAATCGAAAGAAGTTATCTAGCGGGCAACCCTTCCTCCCTACCTTTACTTCCGATTAATCACAACTTCCCGTCGTTCGTTCGCACAATACTTTATGAATTGAACCCTTTTTAAGTAGAACAAATTATGTGCCACAGACAGCAGAGCAAGTAGTGTAAACTTTAAGTCAGGCTCGACGCGGCGGTCGGACGTCGGTCTGACCATGCGTAGGTCGTCACTACTGAGAATTACTAAAATCGATGCTTTCATTTTAATTGAGCGACTCTTTTTTTTTACGACGGTGCAATAATGTTTCATTGCTGTTAAGAGAGATAAGATGCAGTCTCCCAAATTTATTTAAACATTCTTTTTGCGATATAGGCAGCGTTTGTTGAAATTTCGTGCAGTATGAACGAACGACGAATTATACAGCGTGGGGCACTTGAATGACGTATGCAAAGTATTAATTGAATTAAAGAGTGGCAGTTGTATTAAGACAGGCACATGTTCGTCGTAGTTACAACGAAAAATGGACTTCTCCAACGAGAGAACATTTCATCGTATTGATGAAAAATGGATAAATTGAAAGAACGAACGGCTCCGCACTGTGTAAATACTTGAATTACTAGATCAGCCCCGTCTCCTCCCCTTAACCCCTCTCCCAGCCCTGAGCTTTCGTAGACGGAATGATGGCGAGTCGAAAACGCATACAAGCGGTAGCGAAAATAGCGTAATTAGCGAAAGAGGGACGCTAATGTCGGGCGGCGCGCTGGTCTGTGATAAAACAAGAAAAAAAAAAGACAAAAAAAAGAGAAAAAAAACAGAAAATAAAAAGTCGCGGACGCGTATTGTATTTTTTGTATGGCTCGTTTGTGCCAGATTTGTGATAGCCAAGTCCGCGGCATCCTCGATTAAAATGGACGACGACAGAGATGATAATATGGGCCGGCGTGCCACCGTAGCGCGAGGAGGAAACAAAATGTCGATTAGACCGAGGCGCGTTTTGGAAACTTTACGAAAGATGGTCGGGGGATCGCTTGAGTTCTTTTAAATCGTGACGATACTCCTTCGAAACTTATATGCCCGTTCTTTATTAACCATCAGTCGTTCAATTTTCGTCTTCTGTTCTATGACTAAACTTTATAGTACGATCAGGAAAAAGTATAGTGTTGCGTTGTCAAAATTCATTCGATGCAGTATTTGAAAGTCGCTAATAATGATAGAAAGTGAGCAACGAAGGGAAGGAAGATCGTCACGGTGGAAACAAGTGGACATACTAATTTCCAGTCGCCGAGGCTGGCAATCGCAACGAGAAAGCCTAAGTTTAGTATAATTGTAAGCAGCATGCCGCGTTACTTTTTAAAATGCCACGAAGAGAACGGATTAAATTCAAGGATCGACGCGTGTTTAATTACGTGCGAATGCGTGTGTGTATGCGTGTGTGCGTGTACGAGTAATTGTTGTTGAATCCTGGTGTCCGCGATGCCAAAGATATTGTAAGTCATGTAACACGAAAAAAAAAAAAAAAACAGTTGTGGCTAATAAGATACTATCGTAACACGTCAATGATAACGATGAACAACACAAGTGATAATCGTTATTCGCTATCTTGTAACGTTTAATGTATATCAATGTCGTGCAAACCCAAAAAAAAATGGAAAAAAAAATTAATAATGATAATTGAGCGGCTGAAGCTCCTCGGTGTTGTGGGTATACATACTCGTTCCTAGCGACTCGTATGACAATTACTACTCGATACACTACTCATAACATTGCATTGATCTACTTTACTCTACGTACTTCAAAAATAAATAAATACATTCTGTCCAATCTCAATCTCGTCTTCTGGATCCAACGCTTCATTTATTAACCCTTAATTCAATCACAGAGTTAAAACAAGGTAAGGATAATTATTAAAGAAATAAGTAATAAACAGCTGTCGTGGAGTAAAAAATATCGATACAAAAGAAGCAATCACTTTATTACTTTCGCAACGATTTTCTTACAAATTTTCAGATACAGTCTGTGTGTTATATTTTATACAACTTCACTGTACGTAATATATTTTAATATACTTCACGTTCATGGACTGTGCACTTTCAATGTACCCGCGATACATCGTATCATTACTCGTAATTAGATTGCAGATTTTCGTTTAGAAGACTGATTTTCTGATCTGGTAAATAACTTGCATTTGTTTTTTTTTTATAATCAGATCCCTTTTGGATGAAAAATCCGCAGTCTATTCGTGTCAATTGTTCATTTCAACGTGTCATGGTACGGAGTATTCTTTTTTTAAATCTATTTAATCTCTGAACAAACGCCTCTATCCTTTATTGTACACGCACTCGTTATTTATTTCTCTCCTTCCTTGTTCCCAGTTCTCATTCACTCATTCTCTTTCCTCTTGTTCCCATTCTCTCCTTCTCTCTTCTTATACACATGCCCCGTCGCTCATAGAAGTCTACATACACTTATAACTCAAACGAAAAGTTCGCAAATTTTTAAACATCCCTCTTGACGCATCCATAATACAGCGGACGATTAATAAACTGAATAGAATTATACAATCTCATTTTATATTAAAATCTGATTAAATAATTCGTAGAATTTAAAAAATGTTCAAATTCATTCAGCTTTTAAAATTATCCAAATCCATTCTTTCTTCTGTAATATTCGAAGTAAGTTGCATACATGTAGATTTTTAGCACTATCCGTCTCTTCCATACTTAAAACTTGACGTAACATCTACCAAACACCATTCGTGAACGTAAAACCAAGATACAGGTGCAATATCGATCATAATGCGCTCTTCTTACATAATATCGATTCCTCTTAGATATAATAGAGCTACCAGAAGCCGTCCTCCAGTCGAAACTCTACCATTCGGGAATCTTTCGACGACGCTGCATTTGTTGCAATCCGAACATTTTTGTTAATGTCGGGGAACGAAGCTTAGACGCTATCGTTCTGATACAAGATACGTACGATGTAGTTTCGTGTGGCCCAAATTTTATTTTCCTCTTTATTGGTCGTAAAATCCATTTTGGGATACAATAAAAAGTGTACCGCGATGCGATTCGAATGCCGCGAAATACCTTTCCTGCGGTTTCGTTGACTGATAAAAGAATCGACTGTATTTGACTAGGCCGTAAGTAGTTTCAGTCCGTGCATGATCAGACAGAATTCACTCTTTTATTTTCTTACTTGTCCCGGACAAGTTGGTAAGTAGCAGTTGATTGAGTGTTGAAATACGTTAATTATAATATCAATTAAACAATTTTAGTCCCAGTTATGCGTATATTCCGAACACTCGAATCACAAACACGTTTATAATATACATCGCGTGTATATGACTATTTATAAAACGTGACTAGCTTAAAATAATAATTATATGTGGTCTCTATTGTCTTAAATGATATATTTCACCCTATGAAAGAGGAGGTCCAAAAAAATGTTAAAAAAATATTCATGGTGTAATACTTCGTTTACATCGGAATGCTGAAAAATGCCAACGAAACTTCGCATTTTCGCATGCACCGTTTTAAAAAAATCCTCTCAAAAATCAGATGTTTGATAATATTTCCATCAAAGAAAAACAGGTAATAAAAGAACTAATATATTCATAATATCTCAACAAATTGAAAGAACGCAACTATCCTTTCGAACTAAAGCTATTTCAATCGAAGTGAAATCTGAATTCTCATATATGCATCATAAAATCTATTACTCTCTCTCTCCCTTCAAATTAAGGATGTATAGGCTANTTTGTATATATTGTGCTAATTACACTGTAATAACACATCTATAGATAAAAACTCTGAATTGCGGCAGTGACACGTTGTCAGAAGTTGCTATCACTTAATAACAATCTCGTCTATGGTTCTCGCAGCTGTCCAACTAAACTGCATTAGGATACGATAATTATTTTCTTCTGGACGATATAATATATACATACATATATCTTTATTTTTCTAAACACTTCCTCTAATATTTCCATTTTAAGTGACAACAATTCCATAGATAAAATCCTATTTCCACTCGATACATGAACATGATATTTTTATTTTTGGCACCTACTGGCGATTAGGAGACGTCTAAATTGTTCAAGAAAAAGTTGGACAGCTATGCAAATTTTAACAATTTCTAAACTATGAACAGTAGTAGCTACTTTTCCCTTTTATAAAAAAAATTTTCCCTCTCTCTATCGATCAGAAGTAATCGAGAATTGACTTTAATATCAATGCTCGTCTATGTGCTACAGTGTAGCAGCTACACAGACGATCGTCCTTAAGAACTACGAAAATATGTGCTGCTTAGAAAAATTAGTACGCTACGCAACAATCAGCGAACAGCAATTTAGGAGACCATAATAAAGATTGATATTCACTTATCTGTATACACGTGTATCGATTAGATACACGGATTTCCTAATTAGATAAATTGCACTGAACGATTCAATATTAGCTGCACGTAAACAACTAAATGCAACAAGGATACAGATATAAATGAGTAGAAATGTGTAAAATAACAAAAAATGTTTAAACTAAAAGCACATTAACGCCTGATATGGCCGAACGTAAATATACTTTTTCATTCTGCAATTAATAGAATCTCTTCAGCAATTTCAATAAACTAATTTGTTCTTTCTTTCTCNCCTTCTATACTTTTAAGCACGTAGCTATTTATTATTAGCATTATTCTTCTGACGTCTGATTTCTTTTTAATTATAGGAAATGCGTTTTTCTAAGGTACATAAACTTTTGGGATTGACTGCATAGCCAATACATCCTTAATTGATGATCAACGTCGTAACTGGAAAGATTCGTTTCCCAAAATTTCATTGAAATGGAAGTGCTCGAGATTTGATCGAATCGAAATATTTTTGTAAAAAAAAGAGGATACAATTTTAGAAGACGATTCTTGTTACCCTCGGAGTAATCCGTATTTGTATATATTGTGCTAATTACACTGTAATAACACATCTATAGATAAAAACTCTGAATTGCGGCAGTGACACGTTGTCAGAAGTTGCTATCACTTAATAACAATCTCGTCTATGGTTCTCGCAGCTGTCCAACTAAACTGCATTAGGATACGATAATTATTTTCTTCTGGACGATATAATATATACATACATATATCTTTATTTTTCTAAACACTTCCTCTAATATTTCCATTTTAAGTGACAACAATTCCATAGATAAAATCCTATTTCCACTCGATACATGAACATGATATTTTTATTTTTGGCACCTACTGGCGATTAGGAGACGTCTAAATTGTTCAAGAAAAAGTTGGACAGCTATGCAAATTTTAACAATTTCTAAACTATGAACAGTAGTAGCTACTTTTCCCTTTTATAAAAAAAATTTTCCCTCTCTCTATCGATCAGAAGTAATCGAGAATTGACTTTAATATCAATGCTCGTCTATGTGCTACAGTGTAGCAGCTACACAGACGATCGTCCTTAAGAACTACGAAAATATGTGCTGCTTAGAAAAATTAGTACGCTACGCAACAATCAGCGAACAGCAATTTAGGAGACCATAATAAAGATTGATATTCACTTATCTGTATACACGTGTATCGATTAGATACACGGATTTCCTAATTAGATAAATTGCACTGAACGATTCAATATTAGCTGCACGTAAACAACTAAATGCAACAAGGATACAGATATAAATGAGTAGAAATGTGTAAAATAACAAAAAATGTTTAAACTAAAAGCACATTAACGCCTGATATGGCCGAACGTAAATATACTTTTTCATTCTGCAATTAATAGAATCTCTTCAGCAATTTCAATAAACTAATTTGTTCTTTCTTTCTCATTAAATGCGAGAAATAAAAATTGATTCAAAATTAATATTTTAGTATTGAGATTATTTAAAAAATTGTCATGGCTCGTACGATTAAAAAATGACGTGTAAATTAAAGATTACGTGTTATTACGATACCTCGGAGAGGATTATTATAGAATATTCAACGTTGAATAATAATTTATACATATATAAAAAGAAAAGATCTTTGAGTGCAAATGAATAAAAAAATAATAATGTACGTACTTGTTACGAGTGCCGTTGCGAACGTGTACTAACTACAGCCGAACCTTTAGCTCCTCCATCCTCTGTCGTATTCTTCGCCGCATTTCCTTGTATCTGTAAAATTGAAACAGTCGAATTAAATAACACGAAGATCATTATATGTTAAACAATATTTTTATTAATCACTTATATCTTACGTACTTTTCTTTCAAAAGAAGAATCTGCCGTTCTTCCTCGTAATGATAACGCTGCAAAATCCCGTGGCACTCGGCCAGAGACAGATTAAGGAATTGCGCAACGTCTGAACTAATCTCTGGCGTGGAAAATTTGTCCACCAAGAAAAGTCGCGCGACATTCTCGTGCGGACCCAGCACGACGCGAACCTCCAACGGATATTCGTCCTCTCTTAATCTTCTCTGTTCTGTAAAAGAAAAATCGTATCAGTACTAAATACGATTAATAGTAGATCTACAATTCTATAGCTGATTTTATTTACCGCCATTGTCGCGCACTACGAACAGCGCGAAGTTATCCGGTTTGGCGTCGACTTTGTATTTATCCAACATAAGATTGATGACCTCCTGAGTATTTACTAGGCTCGTGATCCACACGGACATCTGAGATCCGTGCGGAGGCGTGAAGAAGCTGGTCTCGCGGTTATAGAAATGACCATTGATCGAACAACGACGCCGCAACCGGCTGCGGGACTGTCGCCGACCGCCGGGACGACGTCTAATCGCAGTGGATCCTTGCTTCCGACGTAACACAACGCCGTCCAACTAGAAACATACACCGAACGTCCGAACTTACGATATTTAAAGAATTTTGTTAATGTAGTTGTGATACTCACTTCTAATCCACTATCAGTGGACATGGTCATGTTATCGTCCTCTCTGAATTGCAGAGAATTTACCGAGTCTGTGTCGCTGTCGGTTCGATGTCGTTGAAGGCAATCAGGCCCGGACATCGATCGGTTCAGACCCTTCTCTATCCAACTGTCATCGGTGCTAATGGATCTGCTACTCGACATATTCTTCTCTAGACTATCGAAGTATTCGACCCTTCGGAGGGTCCCGTTACGGTTTGGAGTCCCGTGATAAACCGGTGTATCAGTACTGGACGAGCTGCCTATACTATGTGTCGGAGTACTATTTAAGCTGCTATCGTTCCGATTTGACTGATGATTAGGACTTCCCGTTTCTGAATTCTCCCGGGAATCTGATCGGTCAAGACTGGATTGGGAGGACAGTGGCGCGTCTGAACTAGTCTGCGAGCTTATGGATGGCAGGTTCTCAGGCATTGTTTGATACAATTTGTTCCCATCTTCAACTTTACGTTCCACCTGTACAATCGGGAGGAATAAATATATCGTGGAAGAGATAGAACTTCGAAATAATTTATGTACAACCTGAAGAAGCTCGTCCAGTTCGTCCCACTCCATGTTCTTCACATCCAGCTTCATCGGTAGAGTGAGACTCTTGAGATGATCGGGTGAAGTCGGAACAGATTTCGGTTCGGTTTCCACATCTTGTTCTTGTTCAACTTCCTTCACCACGTCTTCTTCTTTTTCATCGTCTTCTATGCTCTATTTAAAGAATACCAAATGTAAATAAACGAAGCAGCCCTAAATCTCGTTTCGTATAAAAATATATATACGTACATCAGAAACGCTACGTCGGCAGGAATTTCTGTTCCGAGCCGTGACTACCGTACGCTGGTCATCGTCTTCTTTCAAGTGAATCACTCCCCTGACACCCCAATAAATTCGAAGCGCACCTTCCAATATCAATCTTCCATTCACCTGTTTCAGATAATCAATATTTAATATCTATTTGCAGCATCGATCTTTCGATCTGAATTAATATTTCTCCTACCTCCCGACTCCTTATTCCACCGCTTTTGCCCTCATAATATTGGTTGAACACCTTCAATTTTGATTCCAAGTGAGATCTGAATGAATTCAAGAAATAATTACTGATTCATTTGAATTAATGCACAAATGACACTGTTTTAGAGTATGTACCTAGGTAGAGATTGCCTAGCTTCTTTTTTCCCGAAGCTTGTGTGAGATTCGACTCTTGTCCCATGACCGAACAACTGTGGCCCAAAAAGGGCACCATAGCATGGTACATGACAGTACGGTACTCCTTTGTGCTATGCAGTTTAGGAAAATATTTCAGTCACATTAACTATTTAATAATGTAATTAGAATTCTACCTCTGCATGTTGGCCTGGATTTAAACGTTTCCCACATTCTTCGCACCGTAAACATTCCGGATGCCAATCATATCCCAATGATTGTTTGCGTTCAGCTAAAGTTACATATTTTATTTAAACACTTTAACATATATAACAAGTATAAGAAATAATTTTACTCAAATAAATATTGAATCTCTAGAGCATCGTTACGTCAAACGAAATAACTCGACTGAAACATTAAAACTAGAAAGCAATTTCTTCGTTCGTACAAAACGAGCAACTGATCACACAATAACTCGAGGGAAAAAATGTAGATTGTTTGTAATGACAGAAATTACTGGTTGTCAAAACGGAGTTACACCTTTTTAATATATTATGCGAGAGATTGAAACTAACCGAAGTAGACTGGTTTACCACATTTATGGCACTTCCACATGACGGTGAATGTGAGCTCGCGAGCCCCATAAAACAGTAAAAACCTCGACGTTCTTCGGGCACTAAACCATTTTGTTTACACCGTTCACGAGTTAAATAGGCGCATCGGAAAATGACATGCGGGTTAATTAAAGATGTTACTAGTAAGGTAACCTTCGGTGAATAATGAGTAGGCCCGCCCGGGTCCGGGAACTATTGCACAGTAGAGAGATTAATAAAGAGTGGCAACGTTATGGGGCCCCTAAACCGGTCTGCAATTTTTGACGCCCTCTAGAATNGTCTCAGTCTTCTCCGGCCCAATATTACCGACAAGAGTCTTCGTCGGCCGCACATGCGCTAGAAAACCCGGCCTGAATCCCGTTGCAACTGGTTGGAAAGGTTGTTGGAAACAGTCTGCGCGTGAACTGTGCATATTGATTTGTGACATTTGACACGTTGACGTGAATTTCTTGAATATTTCATGAATTATTTGTAAGAGAACGATGAAAGGAAATTACACATTCACGATCTCATTGTTCTTCGTGGTTTTATTTAAATTTATACAATGTGACGAGGTGCACAGGTACCCATTACTGATGCCAAATGTCACACCATACAAGGTAAATATTAAACAAATTATTTAACAATAACTTAATTAGGTATTGTCCATACTGACAAGATAATAACGATACTGTCTCTGTTTCTTAGGAAGAGTTATATCTGTGCACTCCTATTAAGGTGGATCCTACTCAGAATTACTATCTAGTAGCTTTCGAGCCGAACGCGACAATGGCAAGTGCTCACCACATACTTTTATATGGTTGTGGAAAACCTGGCAGTGCACAGAGTATATGGGACTGTGGGGAAATGGGACATGGTAGTAATAATAACTTGGAGACATCGGTTCCTTGTGCAGAGGACTCCCAGGTATCTATAGATAAGAGAACATTAAGCAGTGAACGCAGATTCACGAAATATTAGGAATTTATATATACATGTTTCTCGTAGATACTGTATGCTTGGGCTAGAGATGCACCAAAATTGATTCTACCGGAAGGAGTAGGTTTCAAAGTTGGTGGGGACTCATCGATCAAGTACTTAGTCCTACAGGTTCACTATGCCAGTGTAGACCTGTTCAAAGATGGTAGAACAGATGATTCTGGTGTGTTCCTGCATTATACTTTACGTCCACTTAATAAATTAGCAAGTGTTCTCTTATTGGGAACATCTGGCATGGTACCACCCAGAAGTACGACGTACATGGAGACAGCTTGCATGATAAAAGAGAACAAAACTATTCATCCATTTGCGTATAGAATTCACACTCATTCACTTGGGAGAGTGGTCTCCGGATACTTGGTGAAACCAGATTTTACATGGATCGAGTTAGGCAAAAGGGATCCCCTGACTCCTCAGATGTTCTATCCGATACATAACGAAGTGACGGCAGGAGAAGGAGATCAAATAGCAGCACGTTGTACCATGCAGAGTACACGTGATCGCGTGACGTACATCGGCGCTACCAAGGAAGACGAAATGTGTAATTTTTATTTAATGTATTACGTCGAAAATGACGAGCCACTAACAATGAAATATTGCTTTACCAACGGTCCTCCTAGTTTCTATTGGAGGGACGCTGGACTCTTCAACATTCCTACTAGAGAGGCGTCCACATTATAATTATAAGTGTTGGTTAGAAATTGGTATCGATTCGGGATTTGTTGACAATGATGCATAGTTTAAATGGAAGCATTTTATCTATTTGTTATAAAATAGAAATTGTTTTTCCTGTTTGTTAGGAACTTTCGTATTCAGTACGAAATTGTAATAGGTTCTTAGTTTAGATCAGTGTTCCGTCAATGTGATGTATAATTATTTTTATCGTTATTTCGTATCTGAATGTTGTATTTAATTTCTCGTCTACTGTGTCGTCTAAAACAGGCCTATACGTAATTGTCTCTTATTTATTTCTAACTTATTGTCAATTCGAATGAAGGAACATAATTTTAATTCCAAGCTCCAACTTTCCATATTGTTCATCGTTTGAAAAATTTAACGAGCATCGAACGATGTACGTCATCCACGATCTTCCTGTTATACTCGGAAACTTGGATTGCATTTTATCACGGATCGTTTTAGCTAACAGTATTCATTTTTACCTCAGCGACTCTTCGGAGGAATATACAAGAGAATGTACGTATGTAACACAACTGAGAACATGACTGAAAGTAAGACATTTCCCACTATAACTCGATGTTATTCTATCTATAAGCGTAACGAAATGAAATTTATTTTCGAAGATATACAGAAGGTGCACGGGTGCATCTACGAAATATATATCTATAATACCTATTTCTATGAATATTCTCTTACTGTCATTAATAAATTACGCGCATCTGAAAAATTCTTCATTTACTCGATACCTATTTCACCAAATATTTGCACGAGAAGCATTTCGTTAATTTATTGTCCCGTAGAATCGTACTGTTTAAAAAGTGTGTCAATAAGCGCGGACGTACGTTTTCGGAAAACAAATGAACGGAGAAAGTGCACCGCACGTATGCAAAAGAATCTAACAGAGGTGCGGTCGACCAGTTTTTTATTCTCTTCGAAAATAAAATACGCATCTTTTATTTCTATCGATTTTATAATACGTTGTACAGCGAAAGGAAAATTGATATATCTTCTTATATCATTCGTTGCTGTTCATGTCGATCCTCGAGTACGTCTTCAGCTGCTCGTAAGTTAATTGGACCGACGCGCAAAATTGGAAACCGGTTCTCCTCATACCATTCATGTACTAGTCTTCTCTTTCGGAGATATCATAATCTCTATTATTATTCCTGTGCAAAAACAATTTTATAAGTAGTCATTCCGTTTGCAGTCTCATGCTGCAACTATCCTTCCTTCTTTCCTTGCGCAAACATAAAGAAGCTTATTGTGACACACGCGATTGAATAAACTAATTGCTGGTTCGATTGTACGCAGATATCTAATTATCTTGATTCGATCGTCGTGTGTTGAAATGATGCGAGCTCGTGAAAGTAAAATCAATTCGTATGCCCGATACTTCCGGTTCTCGAACGTGTTTCCGCGTGACGACTCGTGATTTTGTCAGCAGTTCGTTCTCGGACGAAAATCTGAGGTCAGGAACGAGGAAAGTAAATGAAATCCACTTAAATCTTCATATGTCATCCAATGAAAACAGGAAAATAATGGAAAATAGTAATGATAGTTTTATTTATATTTCGCAGTATTTATAGACATATTTTATATGCAAAGTCTAACTTTCATTCAGGATTTCGTAATACCGAAAACGAACTCCATCAGGGGGAATAAATAAAGCGACTCTCTCCTGTCGGGAATGGATTTTCCGGATTTCAGTAATATTTTATCCTTTCGGAACGGCGAACGCGATCTCTTTTACTTTTATGCACGCGCCTCGTTGCGTCGCCGGTTAATGCGTCAATGAAAACGGCACGTCACGCGCGCATAAAAGTATTGTCGTCCCGGTAAAAGCATGTCTCGTCGTTAGGAAAGCGACTGGAGCACATGCAGCCTGATCGGACGTATGGCAACTTCGAAAGTAAGGCCTCGATCACGTTTTGTCCGATCGCCAACCGAGCTTCGTTTCCGTTTTTCTTTCTTCGAGCTACATTCCCCTCTGCCACCGAATAAAACAATTACAGCGATTTTTTATAACAAATGCCTGTACGACTTTTAATGCATCGTCCATTTTAATATTCGTCACTAGTTAATTTTGCGGAACGATCACGTAAAATCGTCAGCCGAGCAAAATCGATCGACGGTTGTTTAAAATTCGACGCGATTTCGTTGGAGAACCGGGCGCAGCGTTACAATTATTTAATGCGCGAAAGTCTGATTGAAATCTCATTGATCGATCGTGCGAATTGCAGCGAGACTGCCGCGTGAACCAGATATGTATCGCTCTGGACTAGAAGCCCGATTAAGTTTTAGATTCGAAAACATATCTTGTCCATTAACGGCGAACGAGGCTACATTGAGTCGAGTCGAACGCGCGTATTTGTCAATGTGGCACGTCTTCGAAGAATCCTATCGAGAATAGATACGCGTTTCAACGCTCGGCTTTCGAAAGTGTCTTCTCTTCATTCATTTCTTCTCGTACGCGGCTCGGCTTGTCGTTACCCTTTGACCAGCTCGAACCATCGATCTTTCGATCTCGTTCGAATCTCAGTGACTTTTCACCCGGAACTTTGCATACCGGGATTTTTCGCATAGTCGTAAAAAATAATAATTGGCGAACGATAGGAAAATCGATGAAACGTGCCGCGTGGCAAAGTTTGCCCGACGCGATAGCGGGGCTCGCGAGTTTCTGGGTGGGATACTGCGCTAGGGGATGCAGGCTATGGGGGTTGCAGCCGAACCTGACTCCTCTCGGCGAGTGCAATATCAGAATGGCGAGAGGGTAACGGAAAGGAGAAAGATAAAAGCGAGAGAGCGAGAAAGAGGCACGTGGGACAAGAGAGAAGTCGGCGATTGGTTAAGCCGGTTGGAAAAGCCCGCCTGGCTGCTCGACCGGCCGGCACTTCGCTCAGTTCTCCACTGCGCTCCGAACGAATAGGAGCTTTCGCCAAACAGATTCGACCTCGAGTACCCAGTTGCCTCTTTTTTCGTTCCGTTGCTTTCTCGGTTTACGTCAGAATTCGGCGATACAGCATCGATTATTAACGACTCCGCTGATTTTAACGACGATCTTCGTATACCCCCAGGAAAGCACCCTTCCTCTGCGTTCGATCCTGATCCTGATCCTTGCCGACGTTACCTGTTCGTTCGACGACAAGAAAAGAAGAGGAAACTATGCCCGTGGACGATAACACGTCGCTATTTTCGGTTTGAGGACTCCTCGATAGACCCCAGCTATCGCGTTCCAAACTTGAAGGATTTCTAAGAAGAGGGAAAGGATTCGCCGCAATTATGGTAAGCTCTTACCCTATCAATAGTTCAAGCTCAGATCCGATCTGCGTTTCAAATGAAAGTATTACTGCAATGATTGTTGTCGATTAGCATTGCAAGAACTAAACTTACAAGTAGATCGTTCACACATTTTATAAATAAAAATACTCAGTGCGTGATGCTTAAAGAGTAATAGTTGTATAAATAAATTTCACGTAAAAACCTCCGATCTGCTTGTAAGACAGTTCAGAAGAAAACCGCGTTTAAATAAGTTGGCGTCAAGTTAAATTTGTCCATTTCATGTACGAAATTTACTTTCGCGAGTGGTGTAGGATATTTTACATCGAGGAAAATGAGTTTGCACTAATGCTTCTCATTTAACAAGAGGTTCGCGCCGCAACGCGTAGAACTGTCGCCAGTGGTAATTTGGGAATTCGAACTAAAGCTTATTTGCGAGGTACCGCGACGGACCTCGCAAACTAAATTTACTTTCTCATCATATTTCAAGTGGTTCACCATTTTAATTACAGATATTAATTTCGATTAATATTACACGTTGAATTCGTACTCTGAAATAGACATTAATGAAGAAAAGGAATTAATGATATCGCTTCATGAATTTACGTCGTTACAATTATTAACCAACGTTGATTAAAAAAAATATTAGGTTCGAAAATTTCATGTAGATGTAATCAGAAAGCATCGTGTGCATTTATCTATTACGATTTTTAGTCCAGTGAGCGTTGATAAAAGTCTGCAAGGAGAATTGGCCATGCGAGGAACGATTGAGTATTCGAAAAAAGTACAGTTGCGAATTCCAGAAACGGTGCCGGGCACGTAGAACGAAATAGTCGATCGGGGAATTTCAATTATCGACCATTCGAAATCGTGAGGGTTTGCAGTGCGCCAACAGTATCCGCGGTCCTGTTTGCTCGTGCATCCTCAATCGCGCCTATTGATCTCCCGCGTTTACAACGATCCCGAATTCAGATCGCGAAATCGGCCGGTACTTGATTGGCATTAATCGGTCCGACGCGTGCCGCCGATTTAGATTAATGGCAGAGCGTAGGCAGAGCCGAGTCCGAGATGAAACCGTTTCAAAGCATAAACGTCGTGTTTGCGCGTCGCGGTCGCCGGTTAGTTTTCGTATAAATAGGATTTCACCTCGGCGGTGTGCGGTTTATCGCGTGTTCGTTGCAATCTCCGACGAGGAAACGTCAATAAACGGAAATTTCTTGACTGTCGGTAGCTGTGACATCGAATTGGCAAGCTTTTACTAAAATCAGCTCTTTCATGCGAATCAGCCTAAACGACGTTCACGTGTAACACTGTGTACGTGTATATAGAAACTATCCGAACTAGGTCGCCACCTTTTTTCCCCCCTGTTCCGCAATATACTTTGCTCTTCTCCTATCCAATTCGCTCGAGCGTTCGCGCGAACGAGATGCATCTGTCTGTTTCATCGTCCAGGAAGCGTGCCAAGGCGTCTTCCCTGTGTGCAACGGTTGCCCGCAGGAAATCGGTTCCCTTCCTGCGGAGTCATCCTTCGACCCTTCCGATCGATCCCCGCCCGCTCGCCTCGCGGATGATCGAACGATAAAAACTGCGCCTACATTGTTACGAAACGCGGGGAGGCGCGATACGGCCGCTGGAATGCGATCGCGGGTATTCTTTTGATACGACATTGCGCGGTACGTGTACCTACGGCCGCAAACTGTTCTCCGGGTTAACGTACGATGTTCCATAGGGTTCATATATCTCTCTTTACAACCAGGAAACGAGCATGGTCCCTTTGCACCGGGCAACGTTCATAAATCCAACGGGAAGTTCAACGAACAGGAAAAACATCGTTGCACCGTTGTACATACTCGATTGAGTCGTATCGTGCTAAGTTGCGCTTTCTTCCTACGTTCAAGATTTAGATTCTTTTAAATGTACGCTCGCCAGGTTGCGATGGGTCCGCGTACACTGCCACGAGTCTTCATTATAACTTAATCTGACGTTGAAAGATCAGGAATAAACGAAGTGAACTTCGTGAAGTTTTAATGAGTTTAACTTTATATTTAATAATTTAATATGATCTGTTAATTGAAACAGTGTTTGTAGTCGAGGTATATTGACTTATGAACTTTCAGTAAGAATGTCGTCCCGAATTGCGAGTGCAACCGAGGAATTCGATGGTACGAGGAAAGAAATACGCGTACGTCTCTGTCTCGTTGCCGTAATTTATTTGATGGGATTGATGCCGCTGACGGGAACCCATAACTTTCGTTATTTCTCCCAATCAGGTGGAAGACCACCTAGAAAAGAACCGGAGAAATCCTCGCCGATGTAAGGAGCGAACACATGTAAATCGCGTGACCCCTATTCGGGACACGAATCCGACGGAAGTACAGAAAATCTTTTGCGAACTAGACGGAACTATTATACTTTCTTCTTTTCGATTCTCTATACGCCGGGAACCGACCCGACCTCCCTCCCACATTTTCTCTCTTCACTTTCGGAACGGAACGCGAAAGTAACTTCCGTTTATTTTCATCGCGAGCCTCCCGCGCAGAATATCTGATCGACGTACTTCGGATTCTTACGTATAATCAAAATATTCAGGATCTCCTTCGTTCATTCGTTCTTCTAATATTTCGCATATTTTAGCATACCGAATGCATTAGTTGAAATTCAGTACGTTTATACTGTTTTATAAATTCACAAAAGTCGAACGTCATCGATGTTCATCGTATTTGACTAGTGTCCTTTCTTGGTCCCGAAGTCGACTCGTGTTATCGTGTAAAAATAACTAGAGATTTTTACATAGAGTTAACAACGCGTTAGGACGGAGTAATGACAAGCATCCGATCGATTTCTCGGATCGAACCGTCAGGCTTATCTCGAGTCTCGAAGGGGGAGCGGCGAGGTCTGTGGGCCGACTACTTTTTCTCGGTTTTGCTCGCTCTTATTGCTCGCGGTACATTGTACGCGGGCCGGCCGATCGGCCAGGATTCGTGGGACTGCCGATCGGTACGGTTTCGCATGAGTAGAATCCCGTACGGACCGATGAAAATTTCATCGCACGCGAGAAGAGGAGCGGTAGCGAGACCGAGCGGCCTGCATACGTAATACACCTTCTTAGCTAATATAGGCCGGTTTCGTTTTGGGGCCATCGGCTCCCCTCGACGGCGCGGCCCTCGAACCGATGCGTCTCGTTAAAGTCTCGTTTCTCCTTTCGATCGGAAGAAAACAGCTGTTCCCTTCTAGACGTAGCTCGTCGCTTTTCACGGCGCCGGGTCCTACTTTAGGTTCAGTGGCCATTTGGAAAAATAGAAATCTGTTCGAGGGTCCACGAGACCGTTCGAGCGGGGAGGGGCGGGGGATCTGGTCGCTAGCGTTTCCTCGTCGATCGCGATTGCGATCACGATCGTCCTCGCTTTCGAAAAACGAAACGGAACGCATCCTTGCGTCGCGTTGCATCGCTACTTCCTCGCCTCGGCTATTAACCTCGATAATTTCCGATCTTCGCGGGTGTATCGCCGCGGCCACTTTCGTTCGTAAAGACTTCGTTTCCCGCATACTTTCCAACACCGACGGCGACTATTAATAAGTCCCGAGTCATTCACAAGTCATACGCGGTTGATTTAACGTCGTCGTCGTAGATTCCGGAATTTATTTATGGCTAGGAAAGAATTTCTCGATGAAGAAATTCATTCAGCAGTTCATTCGTTATTCATCGTCATGGTCGCATAAAATTTGGCCAGCCACCAACACAGACGAGCAACGTACGCGAGCGTTTATGAGCGCGTTCACACGCGCACGATAACCTTGTGTGGTCCACGGGAGAAAGATAAAGTGAAACCATGGGGCCACGCTGTCTCGCGATCCAACCTCGATCTCAGGGCCGCGCCGTTCCTTCCCGCTCCGGTTTTCGTTCCTCTTACCTTCTCCGCTCTTTAAGTAACAGCCCGGCTTAATTCACCTATATTACGTCCCGATAGTGACGTTTTACGGATCATACTTACGCGCCTCGCGCATTTGTTCTTCGATGGCTCCGCTCTGCTCCCGCGCCGACCGCCGCCGCCGCCGCCGCGCGGTTTTTTCGCCTCATCGTCGAATCGCGTGCGAACGCGGCGAGAAAGCAATTAGGGGCACGATTTCGTGCTTCATATCTTCAGAATATCCATCGAGTACGAGTGTAACGCGCCCTGTACTCACACGATTTGACGCGTTACACACGTTTTTCAAACCGTCCAACGATGGAGCTGTTACGTAAAACGTTTTGGTCGAATACGGAACTGCGATTTCGACCGACCTTAATTTCGGCAACGTCCATATAACAAGTAGTTTCCGCGTTATGTCTTGGTATACACTACTGATTCCTCGTTAAGTTCAAATATCATAGACCGTTTCATTCGTCACTGCAAACAGTGAGTGAGGTACGATCGCGTATCGACGGTCCTAAAGCGCAGGAAATACCTGATTTTAAGTCTTGAAAATATATTTTAATATGCTTCTAATCAATATGCTTCTAACGTCTCATTATACGTTTTACGATATATGAGTTATGAGCATGTTTTTTTCTTTTTATTACTTCTTTCGTAACTATGCCTCGAAATTCGTTTCACGGCACCGACGTGAGACCTCAATCAACGAATCTATCAACGCCGATTGCCGGGTATAACTTTCTAACGACGTGTAAACGATAATTATACATTGTGCCGCGGCCGAGTCCTCTCGGCGGTAACCCTCATTCTTACTGCGCTGAACAATGCGGCAATAAAAGATTCGCGGGAAGCCTGAAAGGTAGCCTCGATGAGCGCCGCGACGTATTAATCAATTGTTCGTCGAAGATGGCACGGCACGTACAGTATTTCCCGCGTGCAGTAGAACGCAATCTCAACCGCGTCTACTTTCTCTGATCTTTTCAGTTTTCCTTCTGTACTCCCTCGGGCATTCTATCCCGGGTCCATAAATTATAGTTAAGCATAGATACGATCCGGAGAGCCGGCCAACGAAACTCGAAGGGAATGGGTCGCTCGTGGAAATTTACATCAATTTTCGACCAGACGTTTATCCTCGATGGGAAAATATTTTTTATTGGAAAAACGTTTATCTTCTAAAGCGCTTTGTTTGACCAACGACTGCCATACGCGAGCAAGTAATCTCTTTGATAACATATGACACGGTTACACGAGCATGCTTCACCAATTTGCAGTAGGATCATATATTTTATATAATAGGATCATATTTTTTGTGTGAAGTCAAAAGTTGTTCAGTGACGAGGAAAATCAGTTTCATTTGTTTCACTGAAACTGAATTATTATGAAATATAATAATGAGTGTTCTCAGTTTATTATATCAATTTAAAAAATGATCTAATTAATGGACGGATGGTGAGCGTGGCAGAGGAACAAGTGCGAGTCCAATCGAATGGGCATTTCCTCTCGCGAGGCGACCGGGAGGAAAAGGGCGAAACGAATGGTTCCTCGCGTCGCAAAATGTTCGATCAGAAGGTTCAAGGTCGAATCACAGCCGAATCTGAAGGCGGCATCGTAGAAGGCGGCATTCTTTGCTCGTCCATGCTGGCCACGTTCTTTCTTTGGGAACCTTAACTCTCCGCGCGCGCACACACCAAGAGAGAGGAGATCGCCGCCCGAAGCACCGTCTACCGTTACCACGTGTCTCCCTGTCTCTCTCGTTTTTTTTTCCCCTCTCTTTCCTCCCTACGATATGCCGCGATCGTGCAAATACATATACGATGAATACCGCTTCCAACGATCTTACCAAAATCCCCGTGCATCCACAAACATCCCCCCTGTCGACCTATTTTCGATTCTCGAATCGGCCTTTCCTCTGCCAACATTTTAATTCCGCGGTTTTACCCCTGCGTCGGCTGACTCTAAGCCTCATCCTAACGGACAGTGATTTTTATTCTTCGCAATTCGAGTACAGTTGAAAACTATTCTTAGATTCCTTTTTGAAATTTATTATACTGGCTGAATTGATAGAAATTTTTATTCGATAATTTTATCGAAACCCAACGAGTACGAATTTATTGTCAAATATGAATGAACGCATCGTTCTACTTTGACGAATCCATGAAATAGTGGATAATTTTAATTGACACCTCTTATTGATTCACCTTAGATTTTCAGATCTGAAACGATCGTAGGGTCAGTTTTAATTGGTAACCCACGAGGCAGGATTAGCCGCGATTACGAGGCAATTATCGGGGAATAGAAATCGGGAATAAACAGCGAGACGTCGCGTCGCGTCGATCCGTCTGTGTCCGATCGTCGCGCAGAGCCAGGAGTGATTTGCACGTGTCTCGGGTGAAAGTATTACCGACTCCGAGCCTTTTGAATCGAAATTCACAGGTGAGCCGCACGGTTTCAACCGTCTGGCCCACTCCCAGTACTTTATTATTAATTCAGATATTAAACGCGGACATAATACGCAATTTCCTAGAATTCAATTGCCTCGGCCTTCTATCTTCAAGACGGATTGACGTGTCAAAAGCAATTAAGAGTTTCGTGTGCATTGCGTCTGTCTGCCCGTAGGTAATTAGTCTTTTCGCTTATCTAGGAACAAGGTCGATTTTAACTCGTCGCTGTTAATTAAATTCGAGTACCTCTGCTCAGGCGACGTAGCCCCGTGACAATTTCTACGATCGAGCTTGCACGGTTAGCTCTATTCAGAGTCTCGTTATCGTTTGTATCTTGGATTAAACGTGACCAAGTTCTTCTGTTACTGAAAATAAAACGTTACGATAACGTCGGTAGTTCTTTATAATTCGTGATCGTAGATAATCTAGAATGTTTCACTAGGAGTTAATCGGTTTTAGCATAATGGGACTCCTCGCTGCGTTACAAAAATATGTTTAGCTGTTTCAGAAGATGCCGGGTACACCGTCGGCTCTATGGAGATGGTTATTCTTGGCGGGATTAATCCACTGTTCGTCCTGTCAAAGCGTCTCCGCCACGTTCGAAAACAAGACCGGTGAGTCAGCGGTATCTGCCTTTTCTATTTTCAATTCTTCGCATGATATAGTTGGGAAGAGTCAGTTTATTGAATCGCTGGATTAAACAGTCTGACAATTATTCCAAATTAGTAACCATCAGAGAATATTTTAATTGACAGATTCCATTAAATCGTTAAATAAATCATGTAGATGAAACAATTGCATTGGATTCATTCGTTTATTCATAGGATTTTCTTCAATTTTACATTTCATTTGGCTGCATGTTTCATAGCATGTTCGAAGATTTATGAAGGGGGTATAGGTGCTTGGCCTGGGTGCGAATCGATGGGTGGTTGCGACGACCTTTGCGGATGCTTCGATCGCCCGTATACTGCAGGAAGCTGGCAGTAACGTTTGAAACTGGCATGATTCGGCGTAGTGGTAGAGCGCAGGCCAATTTCACCGATTCGGAATGGTTGCAGTCGGTCGCGGGGGCAGATCGGTGAATCCTAAACGCGTAATTAGAGGTACTCGAGCTCCTCAGGACTGTATTCGTGCACGTGTACACGACGGGGATTCTATCGATACCCGTTGGCCGCGCCGCCGGCTCCGCACCTGGCCGAGCGTTTAAATTCATAGAGACAGATAATCGTATTTAGTAAAAACGTATTGCTGTCGCCGAGAAATTTGAACGTACACGCGTGTGTGCGTGTGCCTAAGCGTGTGCGCCGGGTCAGTGGGTCACTCAGCTCGGTGCTAAAAGAACACTCACGCGTATCGATACACCTGCAACCGTAGGAAAACGATTGTACGCGCGCGTGTTACACGCGCCGCACGCATGTACCGCCAGGTTTATCCTTTCCGAACGATTAGCGAGAGTAGCGTTTAACGACGGGCAGGAAAATTAATTGAGGCTATAAAATCTTGTAGAACGACGGCGACTAGTCAGTTCGGACGGAGTTTTATGTTCGTCGAATGAGTCAAAAGAACGTGAAAACGTAGACGACACCGGAGTATCTACGTACATACGTATTGATTTTAAGCGGCATTTATTTAAAAACTGGTCTTATCACGTCGACACGGACGGGGCACAAGGGTCGTGTAATTGGAAGAATGGAGGCAGCGTTAGAGTACTCCATTGATTCCGAGACTTCGTGACAATAAATCCGGGACACGGAAAGAAATTCGTGCCTCTCGTCGGGCCGGCACGAGAACTGCAAGCTCTTAACCTTAATGAATCTTTGCTCAGTTGTCAACCGAATGTGAGCAGCAGCAGTTCCCTGGACAGCTGTACGCGTCTACATTTGCCTCGCTTTCGTATGCACGCGCGCCAGACGCTCTCGCTAACGATCTTTTGCGACGAGTGTCCACACAGACGCTCTTCTGCCTGTGTGTACCTCTGAATTTCCGCGTATGCTCGTTCATGCATTTATGTATACGCGGCGCCAACAGGTCGTTTAACACCCGTAGGACATTTCTAAGCATAGGACATCCCGACCAGATACGAATTCGTTTTTATGTCTCGTGAACAATCAGACCGGGGAAGCACGTGGATTAACGATTCGCAGAGTTTAATTGAGAAAATAGAGTTACCTCGTCCTACAATTGTTTCGCGAAGTAGTACGTATTTTATTTCGTACGTGAGTAATGGCTGTTAAGGATGTATTGGCTATACAGTCCATCCCAAAAGTTCATGCACTTTAGAAA